CATTGGAGCTCCCCCCCCCCCCTCTAGTTTCTATGTTGTTCGCTTTTTCCATTCTCCGTGTAGTGCTATGAAGTAGGCCTGGGGGGGGGGGGTTGCCATGATTTTGCATATAAAATTCAGGGAACTATGAAGAAATTGCCGTGTAGAATTAAAACAACGGATAGAAAATGCCATGGGCAATTCAATGTCAAAACTGCCACGATCAGAGTTTACCTTGTGTGCATTTTCATGTAGTTGCCACACTGTTTCGTAGTTCAGTCATGATTTTTCGACATATTCATTTTGATACATTTTTAAGCTCTTTTTTTTGTCTGATTGTATGGCATTTTGTGTTCATTTTGTCTCGCTGGTGCTCTAGCTAGTGCTTTTTTGCCCCAGAATGGTTCGTATTTTTTTGCATGCCATGTTCATTTTACCTGGCAGCTTTTCTGTGCTCTAGCTAGTACACCCTCTATTTTTATTTACTCCGTATAGGTTTGTCTAAAATACTTTCAACAAGTTTGTAAAAAAAATTGACATATATACCACCAAATATATATCATTGGATTCATCATTGCATATATTTTCACATCATATAAATTTGATACTGTAAATTTTCATATTGTTTTCTACAAATTTAATCAAATTTTATAAAGTTTGACTTCAATCAAAGCTGATATGTAGAATGAATAGAAACGGAGGGAGTACTTCCAGTGCTACCAAACAATGCCAGAAATGATAGCAATCCATTGGCCCTATTAATATGTTTTTTTTTCTAAAATACATGGCACTTACGTGCAACGTGGCATGGCAAATCTCTGAAAACTCATATGGAAAACTCAACACATGGCAGTTTTCGTTTAGTTAAACATGGCTTTCTTTATAGCATTTTGTATTGATCACATGGCATTTTTTGTGCGAAGTGGCATGGCATTTATAGTGTGTATACCATGACATTCTTTCAAGAGCATGGAATTTTCTGTTATCAAGCGCATGTCATCTTCGTTATTAAGGGCATGCCACTTTTATTTGTAAAGAGCGTGGCATTTTGTTTTTCCAAGCATGGTAAAAAAATTATTATAAAGAGCATGTCATCTTTTTTGTACAAGCATGTCAATTTTATTTTAAATTACATGGATTTTTTTATATCTTTAAGAGCATGGCCTTTTCTTTTACTAATAGCATGACATTTTCATTATAAAGTGCATGGCACTTTTATTTTAAAGAGCATGACATTTCATTATAAAGAGCATGACTTTTTTTTAATATAAGAGCATGGCCTTTTCATTATAAAGAGTGTGGCACTTTTATTATAAAGAGCATGGCATTTTTTCTGTAGAACATGACAGTTTTTATTTTTAAAGAGCATGGCATTTTTTTGTCAATAAGAATATAGCATTCTTATCATTAAGAGCGTGACCTTTTTTTTATTAAGAGCACGATCTTTTTAATCTATAGCATGGTAAAAAAATTGCATGGTACTTTTAGTTTTTCTAAATCATGTAATGTTTCTTTTTTGTGTGTTTTCTTTGTTTCCGATAAAGAAAATATAGGACATGGCAATTTTGATTTTTGTAATGTGGCATTTTTATTTTCCAGTCTCATGTCATTTCTATTATCTTGATCATGCCATTTTCCTTTTATACATTTTCTCAAAACTTTATTATATACGAGTTTATATGATGGCATTTTAGTAAAGTACGCTACATGATCAATTTTGATTATGACGGCATTTTGTTTATGTGATGGCATTTTTATATGTTGTTTTGGAGAAAATCCAGTTTTAAAGGATGTTAGTACTGTCTCATGAAAATGAGCTTTTTTAGGTCCCTTTTTTGAAGGCTTACGTGCGTGCGAAAGGGCTTGAACTTGAGATCTCATTGTTGCAAGGGAACCGCACCAACCACTAGGCCAACTTGTCACTGGTTCATATTATCTTCCTTTCTTTCATTTATACGTACATGAAATGCCCGCTATGTCTTCTATGTTTTCTTTTTTCTTTTTATTTTTTTAAATGTGTGAGCTTTTCTTAAAATAGATGTTTTTTTTTCAAATTGGATGAATGTTTTTCAAAATCTTTTTTTAAAAAATTGGTGATTGTTTTTGAAAATTGATGAACTTTTTTCAAACTCAATGAACTTGTTTCAATTCAATGAGATTTTTCAGAATCAATGACTTTCTTTAAAATTCGATGACTTGGTTTTCCAAAATTGATAAACTTTTTATTAATTCGTGAACCTTCAAAGTTTGTGAATTTTTTTCTGTGGTCATTTTTGATTTTTTTCACGATTTTTTTCTATTTTTATTTTTTAAAGTCTATGGTTGACCATTGGTCAACCGCGATTGATGAACGCCATCGAGCGACGAAGAAACCAGGCAAGCGCTGGCCTTCTTCTTGGGCCGGCCCACAAGCAGGAAGTGTGGGCGCCAAGGCGTTCAACGGCGTCTGAAACGCCGAAATCGTTGCAAGATCACTCCCGCCTTGTCAGGTTGTGACAAAGCGATGAGAGTTTTCTTTTTTTTCGTAGTTTTGTTTATTCGAAATGCTTTCTCTTAAACCTTGTGTCCAAATATCGAACTGTTTTTATTGTTGAATTCCTTGCGTCAAAATCTTTAAAATTGGATCCATGTGTGATAGGTTTCGGCGAATTTTTTTCACGAAAAAACTGAAGCGAGAGCACCTTTTCTCCCTTTCGAAGAGGCACATGTTTTGCCTCTCGTGGAAGCGAATCCATGGCTCTATGAGAAGTAAATCGGTGCCTCTCGTGAAAGGAGAAAAACGTATTTTCTTAATCCAAAACAAGGGAAGACCGAAAAGCCAAAAAAAATCATCTGAAAAGTTCAAAATACATAAAAAAAATAAATTTTGAGGGAGCGTCCAGAGCACGGCCAGGGATGGATCCAGACTGAAAATTACCCGGTATCCAGATAGAAGAACACATACCTACATGTCAAACAATCAATCACCTACACACTAAATAAATGGATTATATTAAGCAAGTGTAAACTCGACCCGGTGCCAGTGACACTGGCTAGTTGTACATAGCTCCGCCCCTGAGCACGACACATGGCGACGGCTGAGAATGCGCCAAGTGATGCGCTTCCAACCCACACCAAGTAACCCTTGCGAGGGCTTTCGAAGGAGTACTCCTCAATTAATTGCTCTCTCTGTAAGTTGTAAAAAAAAAGTTGCTCTGGCCGTACAGGAGCTCCGGGAAGGGTCGTCAGATATTGACGTTCAAAAACAACGTTTTTTATTTTTGAGGTAAGCGTTAAAAAAACAAGAGCAACTAGTTAACGAGCGTTTTTTCGGGAGCCTCGCAAATCAGCGCCACTTGGCGCGCTCTCAGCCATTCTCCACGTGTCGCGCTCTGGGCGCTACCTTCGGATTTTATTTTTTAATTTTTCCGCACGTGTTTTCGGCTTTGAAAATGGTTTTTTCCGTTTTTTTGACATTTTGGTTTCCACTGGCCTTCTTTAGCTTTTCAATCAAATTTTTTTTGAAAAAAATAATTATTTTTCACGAAAAAACGCGTTTTCTTTTTTCCCCTTTCGTGAGAGTCATGGTTTTGCTTCCGCGAAAGACACGGTTTTGCTTTCACGAGAGTCACGGCCGTACCTCTCGAAAATGAAAAAAAATGCGTTTCTGTTTTTTTTCTTTCGCAGAGTCACGATTTTGCTTTCGCGAGAGGCGCGGGTGTGCTTTCGCGAGAGTCACGGCCGTGCCTCTCGGAAACAAAAAAAATGCGTTTTCTATTTTTTTTCTTTCGCGAGAGTCACAGTTTTGCTTTCTCGGAAACGAAAAAAACGCGTTCTCTATTTTTTTTTCTTTCGCGAGAGTCACGGTTTTGCTTCCGTGAGAAGCATGATTGTGCTTTCACGAGAGTCACGGTTGTGCCTCTAGGAAAGGAAAAAAACGCATTTTTTTGTTTTTTTCCTTTTGCGAGAGTCACGATTTTGCTTTCGCAAGAGTCACGATTGTGCTTTCACGAGAGTCACGGCCGTGCCTCCTCGGGAATGAAAAAAACGCATTTTCTCTTTTTTTTTCCCGCGAGAGTCACGGTTTTGTTTCTGCGAGAGGCACGGTTGTGATTTCGTGAGAGGTACGGGCGTGCCTCTTTCGAAAAGGGAAAAAAATCATGCTCCCGGTTCGGTTTTTTCATAATTTTTTTTGGTAAAAACCTATCAACATTGGGATCTAGTTTTGAAGATCTCGACGCGAGGAATCCAACGTTGAAAATGTTTGAGATTTGAACGCACGGTTTGAGAAATAAAACGTTTTAAATAAATGGATCTATGAGAAAACGAAAACTCTCAGGTTGTTTTTTTGCAACGAATACTCTTTAATTAGTGATTTCGTTCAAAAATAAAGTGGCACGTTGTTTTTTGGGCTCGCCTTATGGAGTTATGGGCCAGGCCGACCGAGTCTTCTTCCACTTCCCGGCCCCGCACGGCGCCGCCAGCCCGCGTGGCACTGGCAACCGCGGCCGAGCCGAGAGAGCAAACGAGACGGAGCACCTCGCCTCACGTGTCCTCCTCTCCCCTAAATCCACTCCGCTCTCCGCCACGCGCCGCTCCCCTCCCCCCTCCTCCTGCCCGCCTCACTCCTCTCGCGGTCTCGCCCCCGCCTCCGACGCCGCCTCGACCTCCGCAGAGCCACTCGCTCCCGATCCCAGCGACCAGCGCCCGGAAGAGGAAGAGGACGAGGACGGGCCCGCCCATGCTGACCTCCTCGCCCGGCCCCTAGGCTCTCGACAGCGCCACAAGGACGCGCGCGTGTCGCGGAGAGATGGGGTACCTGCCGTCGCTGGGCGGCAACGCGGCGCACCTCGTCTCCGACCTCGCCACCGTCATCCTCAACCCCGTCTCCGGCCACGAGCGGGAGCGCTCCTCCCACCTCCCCGTGAGCGTTCCCCTCCCTTCCCCTCCGTACGTTTCGCCTTGGCGTACACCCGACCCAAGCGCTCGTCTCCATTTCCGCGCCTGTGCCTCGTAATCCGCTCGATCGGCCAACTCCTAGGATGCATGGCTTGCGGCTGGAGATCATATGTCTGTATGTCTCTGGACTTGGACTACGCGGTGCGCAATCCTAGTGGTTTATGGCATCCTTTTGCTGTTGCGCTGCTAATTGAGATGGCTGGCCCTGTACTGGGATGATGATTATTGATATCTGAATGTTTTAAGGCCGCTATCGGTCAAATATAAACTGTGGGGGCGGGAGCATGGAGATCAGTTTGGACTTTGGAGTAGAGCTGTACAAGCAAACTAGAGGGGTATTGTGCGATTGACCAACCAATAGGTAGTTTCGACTGATGAATTGGTGCCTATTCCAGTTCTCATGTGTGTATTTGGACTTTGGAGAACCTTGACAAGAAAGGTTACTTAGTTTAATATCTAAATTTAGGGTGATATGATGTTTGGTTTGCGGGGTTTACAATTATTTCCCCTTTCTGTTGAGATGCACGACTCGCTAATGGCAATTTGTCAAGTGCCAAAGGCAAAGTTTCAGATGGAAATATCATTGTTGCCCATCGCTGCTGCTGCAACCCTTTATTTTTTGTGGTTGGAGAGTGGATGGTTTCACCTACCAGGACCTCACGCTAGTGCACATTCACTAGCCATAAGTCATTGAGTCCCTGTTTCTATGGTAGTTTTGTGAAAGAAAAGAAACTGAAGTGACATTCATGATAACTTGTTTAGGGGCAATTGGCAACTACAACGGCATGTACTGATCATTTTATTGATCATGCTTGGGCTAGAAGCTTAAAGTTCATATCTATCTTGTAGGAGGCCACTGAAGGGCAGGAAAATCTTTATGGTGATGAAGAACCTGAAATCCCTAATGGCCCCGACACATCTTCGTTTCGAGCATTTCTGATGTCATTTATGTCTGCATCAAGCTCTAGCAATGATTCAATGGAGATCATACCTGAGCAGGATCTGGATATGGAATACCCAACTTTAACACCTGTTGGGAGGGGAATCAAGGAAAGGAAGGGGTTGCTTAGTAGAGGCAAGCATTCCATTGGAAAGATTATTAACAAGGCAGGTAGACTTGGTGGTTTCAGACAAAAATCCGGCCACATCGTTGATAATGAAATAGCAAATCAAATAGAGTCAATGTCGTCCGGTTTCGCTCTGAAGGTATCAAGGGGGTCTGCTTCAAATCACAAGTTGCCACCTATGTCTGAACCATCAATGCTTTTATCAGAAATGATGCGAAATGTTCTTTATCCATCTCTTCCTGTTCTTGTTCAAGGAAAGAACTGGATGCTGGTTTACAGGTTATCGTTTGAATCCAAATATGTAGTGATTATTATCATTTTGTGGATGCAATTGATTATCTGATGTCTATTTCATAAATTGTCCAGTACCTGGAGGCACGGGGTATCTCTATCTACTCTGTACAGAAGGAGCATGCTTTGCTCTGGTGATTCACTTCTGGTATGCTGCATACCATGCTTTTGTATATCTTCCATTTTCATGCCCTCATTTGCAATATAATGTCATCTGAATATAGTATCGAAAGATACATGCTTGCCAAGTAGCACTGGCAAGTTTATATAACCTTCTTCATTCACCCAATTAATTTCGCATTCCTAAGCTATTCTATTAGAAGTTTCAGGACGTGCTAATGACTTCATTTTACTGGTGCATATAAAATTTTCCCGACAATATGTCTTTGGTCCTAGGATCTAAGCACCAAACTTGCTTTGGTTGCGTCCCACACCTTCCACCATGTTCTATACGAACCTGGATCATACATGCAGTGGCGTAAACAGGGGGGACCAGCAGGGGCCCTGGCCCCCCTAACGTCAGATATTTGCTACTTTGATGATAAACAGTGTAAAATCAGTCATTATTTGCTGTTAAAAGTGTATTTTCCTCCTGTTTGGCCCTCTCCAACATGTTTTAACAGCTCTCGGCCCCCTTGACCCATTTTTTCTGGCTCCGCAACTGCATACATGCATCTTAAAATTTCGTTGACTTTGGTGATATTACATTGTTGTTATACAATTTCCGAATTTCTGTCTACGTAATTCCCTGGAGTGAAGGAACAGGTTGTTTGAAAACTAAACATCATGCAGTCGTGAACACAAGGGAAGCTCACTGTCTAGTTCCAATTTATTTATGAGCAGTGCATGGATTACCAGAAGAAAAGATGATATGTTTACATATATATTTTTAGCTTCTGATGTCTAGTTCCAATTTGTTTGTGAGCAGTATTGAGGTCAGTAAGTTAAGTTGCTGCATGCATCACCATAAGAAAAGATGATATGTTTACATATATATTTTAGCTTCTAACTTTCTAAGCAAACAATTCCACTCTTTTGTCTCTGTTTGATTTCGTCCTTAGACACTGCAATCCTGGGGGCTTGAGCTACAGAAATTACTTTTTTGAACACAGCTATAGAAATTACTGTATACACAGTACTGTAGGTACTGTTTTTGTTTTGGTTAGAACAATGCTTTTCTTGATTTTTGTATAGTTTAGTTGCTCACTTCCATCTCCTAATTTGTGCTTTGACAGATAATTTGGGGATAAAAAGGGAGCAGTTTTTGGTGGTTTGGTAGAGGCCCCTCTGCGGCCGATCATGCAAAGGAAGTATCAGGTTTCATTTCCACACATATTCTTATGGTGTTTCTTCGATGTGTATTCTACCTTACAGGGTTACACTGATTGTGTTTACGCCATCTTTCAGGGGACCAAGAATTGCTTCGTGTTCACCAATGTAGCTGGTCGCCCTGTTGTATATCGTCAAACAGGTACTTCTCTTTTACTTTGACAGGATTTGCATTGCATAAGAGAAATACACTCCTTTCTGCATTAGTTTCCACCTTTATAACAACCAGTACAAACCATGAGATGTGCCTTTACAGAAGATCAGAAGATCAGAAGATTAATACATTTTTATATGTTGTTGTAGATCCTATAGTAATTGATGTTTCTTCAGAGAAAATGTTGTGATAACTTTATTGCCTTCTTGTGGGGACCCCCGTATTTCTAGAAGTAAATATCAGTTTTGTGCTCCTAATTTTCTTGCTTCCTTAGGATTACGGTTAAAATTTTCCAATTGCAGGTGCTAATAACTATTTCACGTTTTGCTCCCCTGAGTATTTGGCAATGGGAGGTGGTGGTCACTTTGCACTTTATCTTGGTGAAGACCTGTAATCTACTAATCTCTGACCTATCTTTCCACCTTGTCACACATAAATTTTATTTCGTTCTCATGTTAATGTGTCCGTGTGCCAACTTTAGCCACAAGCATGTGTTTTTACTTTTTACACCCTTCTTTGCAAGTGTCATCAGCTTAACATCTTGTTGATCAAGTGAGTCACATGTTCACTTTTGCTGTTTGATCTGTGCAGCCTGAATGGTTCAAGTTCCACCTCAGAAACGTTTAACAACCCATGCCTGTCACTTTCCCAGGACTTTGAAGTCAAACATGTTGAGGTACATGATCAATACTATGCATATCGATTGATTCTCAGCATCCCTGTTTCCTCATGATGAAACTTGAGAGTAACAATGTTTTCCGGCGCAGCTGTGGGGCTTCGTCAATGCTTCCAAGTATGATGAGATGCTCACCGTCTGCCGCACGGAGAAACCTGGAATTTGGAATTTGTGACTGTTCACAACTTTTCGGAACCGTTGAGACTTGATGCCAGGTGTTATTCTGATGGCTTGTACAGTTTTGTAAGTATATAGGCCTCGTTAGAGTCTGACTGGAAGTCGTAAAGTAAAAGGTATGTAGGAAAACTAGTTCGCTTGTGGATCTATGGAGGTGAAACAAGAGCGCAACTTCCTGATCGTGCTTGTAAATATAGTAGTGTACTTGAATTCTAAGCATTTAGATATGTACCAGTATACATTCCCCATGTTCCGCTTATCTTACCAATAATGCATTTGAATTGCCGTGCCAATATCATATGAGAATGCACACCTAGTGCAATCCTTCTGAGAACAATAATGGGAAATATAGTATATCATTTGATTTACTTTGTTCTGAACACCTCCACCTGTTTGCTTGAGGAAAGGAAGGAGGAGGAAGATGACATCTAGAAAATCGACAATTGATGTGGCCCAACAGGAAGGAGGGAGATGGCATTGCGAAACTTCAAAGTTTTCCTCCTCCCGTTGGCGCCGCCGCCGAGTCCGCCCCTGCCGGCGGGAGGTGCAGAGGACCTCGCCTTGCTCCAGTGCTTGTATTCATCGCTAGGTGGTCCATCAACCTGATTGTAATTTTTATCATCTCTGGTGTTCAAGTGACCTCTATGAGAGCACACGGCAAGCTGATACTGGTCGTTTTCAAAACTGTTTCTCGCATCCTTGTTTTGTGTGTTTTTTAGTAGGAAAAAACTATTTTTAGTGACCATCGGAAGAATTGTTGAAAAGGACCATCAGTAGAATAGAGTTGCTTGGTAATTTTTATAGAAACTTTGGGTGATTCAATCTCTACTACTTTATTCGATTCATATTAATTGTCACCAATTTAGTACATATTAAATCAACAACAATTAATATGGATCGAAGCGAGTAGAAAAAAGTAGTGTTTCTTTTTCGCCGGGCAGAGCGCTTAGCTCAAGTGTAGGGCAGAGCGCTTAGCTCAAGTGTAGAGTAGAAAAAAAGTAGTGTTTCTCTTCCGCCGGGCAGAGCGCTTAGGGCATCTCCAGCCACGCCCTCAACAGGCCCTCCCAGGCCACTTTTTCGGCGCCTGCGCCGAAAAAACGGCCCAGTCGCGTCCCCAAGACGCCGAAAATCGCCGGTTCGGACCTTTTTTCCGCCCGGCGGTCACAGGCCGAACCCGGCGCGCTGGGGAGCAGTTGGGGGCTCCGGCGCTGGGGAAAAGCATGCCTGGCCCACACCGACAGGGGAAAAGTCATGGTTTTCTTCCCCCGACTCGCCTCGCACCCCCTGCGCCCTCGGCCATCACTAGCTATATCCCGGCAACGACCGCCGCCCTACTCCGCTAGATAGCCATTCCCCGCCGGAAAATAGCAGCGCTTCGCCGCGGCAGCCCCTCCCACAGCAGTTGGGCGTTTTCGGCCGCCGTTTTCGGCCGCGGAGTTCCTTCATGTTTTCTGTGTTATTTTCTCACAAAACATTCAAAAGCTCAAAATTCTACACTTTTTCGATCTTGTACAAATCCATAATATGACATTCATTCTTGTATGCTTTAATATAGAACGAGAAATGCAGACGCGGCTCATATGCTCCCTAATGAACAGTAAAAATCAAATATTAGTAAAAATTCAAAAAAATCTGATTTTTTGGGTGCAAACTTTGATGAATTTTTTCAGTGCTTGCAAATTTTCATCCCGAAATAACGTTCATGGAAGTCGTGGTAAAAGAAACAAAATCGACACTCAAAAAATGCTATTTTTTAAAGCATTTTGGAGTGTGTTTTTTTTGCCATGACTTTCACCTATGTTAATTTGGGATGAAAATTTGCAGGCACCGAGTCGAATTTGTTTTCATGTTTCTTCAGAATTTACTGTTCATCATGAGCTCAAATGAGCTCCGGAGTAGAAGGGGACTTTCAGGGAAATGCTATGTTTATAGGCTCGCTATATATTTTGACAGGCGAGTTCAAGAGATGATTTTCCACACATCATATTTTTAGGGGATACATCTTTTAGGGTTTCTCCTCCTGTTAGGGTTTCTCTCCTCTCGGCGGCGGCGACCGATCGCACCACCGTAGAGACCTCAACTCCCCTCTCCTATCCCACGTTGGCGGCGATCGGTAGGGGGAAGGGATCGCTAGGGATCGTACCGCCCGCGGAACAAGACCTCGGGCAAGAGGATATGGAAGACACTGCATCGGGATCGGGCAGCGGCATGACCGATCTGGAAGTAATGATGGACGAACTAGGTTTGAAGGAAGATGATCTCCAGGACGTGGTGATCGAGGATGACGAGCTGCCAAAGGAGGCGACCAGATGGATGGCCATTGCCAGGGTTCACACGGAGAAGCCTTACAGTCAGTATTGGTTTTACAGAAATATGAGAGTCGCCTGGGACCTTGCAAAGGAAGTGAAGATCAGGCCGCTTGAAGATAACCTATACACGCTGCAGTTTGGATGCTTGGGCGACTGGGAACGGGTGATGGAGGATGGACCCTGGAGCTTCAAGGGGAAAGCGGTGGTTCTAGATGAGTATGACGGCTACACGAAACCGTCTACTATCGAACTCAACAAGGTAGATATGTGGATACAGATCCATGACTTCCCTGATGGTTTCTTCCCTAAGATCAAAGCACTGTCTGCAACGGTGGGGGAGTTCATCTTCGCCGAACCAAGATCTCAAGATTTTGAAGGCAACTTTGCACGTGTTCGTGTGAAGATCGATGTCACCAAGCCACTCAAAAATGCCGTCTCTCTGGTGGTGAAGAAGAAGGACACTATGCACAGGGAGATCTTCAGAGTCAAGTATGAACGGCTCCCCGATTGGTGCGCAGTTTGTGGATACATTGGCCATCTCTTCAAAGAGTGCAGCGATGGCG